TCTTATATTATATTATTTTAAAAATATATTAAAAAAGTTAATTCAAAATAATTAAAAATTAAATGTTTAAACAATTTTTTTAAATTAAAAAAAAAAAAAAAAACTTATCCCATACTATTTTCATTGCTTAATTAAAAAAAAATAATTATTCGTCTCAGGAGAAAAAGCCTATGCCGAAAATTTGGACCTGGCTAATCATTGATCTTTTCACCATTATACAAGGTTTGAAATAAATCTTTTTTTTTCTTTTTCTTTTTTTTTCAAAAAACATATTTTCAAACCTATTGAGTGGCCCTCGATCGACCTTATCTTGAAAGCTTCACATATGTAGCTGTTGATAATCATAGCTCTCCAAAAAAGCCTAAACCTAGTATACCTATTTTCTTTAATTTCTCTCCATTTGCCAGATACGACATTGAAGTTGTCTTTTTCGTCCGCAACACCACAATGAGTTTGAGCAGTTGGAAAATCCAAGGTAAATATGATAAAATTAGTAAAAATAATTGTCAATATTGGACAGCTGGAGGAAAAAATAATATACGATAATGATTTATTTATAATATTATGAAATATTATAAATTTATTATATAATATATTATTGTATAATTAATTTTATTTATTTTAAATAAATTTAATTTAATTTTTTAAATAAAAATTTAACAATTTTTATAAACAATAATTGAAATTTTTTTTCTTTTTATATAAAAATTTTGTAAAGTATTTTAATTTAATAAATAATTTAATTATCATTTATATAATATGTTAAAATTTTATTTAAATTTTATATTTAAAAAATTAAAATATCAAATCATAAAAAATAAACAAAAAAATAATTATGTTATGATGATCAATTTATAATTTTATATAATATTTGTAATTCTAATATAATATTATAATTATAATATTATTAAAATAAATATTAAAAATAATTTTATTTTTTATATTTTATACATAATTTTAAAATTAAATATTTATTATTATAATATTATTATCATTGCCATCGCAATAGCAAAAGAAAGAGAGAGAGAGAGAAGAGAGCCGTTGCAGGTTTTCCTTTGTGTAAATTGGATGGAAAGAAGTTGAACGGGGTTAAATTAGGGTTAAGGCCATCTATCGTCCCTCTACTATCCAAAATAGTGCATTCTAAACCTTCTAATATGAATTGGCTTCATGTCGTCCCTCTACAATGTAAAAGCATGCACTTGTCGTCCCTCTACAATGTAAAAACATGCACTTGTCGTCCTTCCGTCCAATTCAGCTAACAGTCCTGTTTGTTGACCGTTAAGTGCAAACGGTCACACTTGGTTAGGCCCTTTTTTATTTTTTTTTGCCACCTTGTCTTGTGGGCCCCACCTCATCTCTCACAAATTTTTTTTGCCTTTGCCGAGACTTCCCGCTGCCTCCCCAACTTGGATCCTGTAGGTGGGCGGGAACTCAACCCCATTTTCTATTTATTTTGCCTCCAAAAATTCTCAAGTTTTTATATTACATATAAAATAAATGTAGTTTTGGATTTGATATTTCACTTGAGCCTTTTTTTTTTTTTTGAAATAAATGGAAAGTGCAATGTTAAAGAGATATTTGGGTATCAAAAGCAACATCATGTACATAATGCTAAATTTTTTCATAGAAAACTAAGAACGTATCAAGTTCATCCAACACAGTTTTAACATCTACTTTAAGATACACCATTTTTTGCTAATTTCCTTTCAGTGATTTGGCTAAGTGTGGGTTTCGGATCTTTCGATTATATCTTGTATTTATATATCAAAGTATTGTGTTGTGTGATTCAATCACGATATATTTGAAAGTAAATTATGACCACAAATAAAAACAAAAAGTAAATATGTCATTTTTTCTTAATTTTTAATTTGAATCAAAATCCACTGTTAGAGTATGTGTATAGAGTGCAATGTGTGAAAGAAAATATTAAAAAATCCT